AAGATGTTATGACATTTTCTAAATAAACTGAGTATAAAATCACTCCTTGAACTTTTCGATTAGCTACAGATTGGGATTACCTATGGATAACATGTAGTAATACAGTTCCATTCAATGTCTAATTGTTATCTTTTAATTGATCGTTTATGTTCATGATCATTTGTCTATGTGTCTGTTATATAGACCTCTGGTTAGCAGTGCATGATGTATTATTCATTGGTTGGGATCATGTTTATGCAACATTTAACTATCTTATTAATACGTAATTATTGTTATAAATAATGATCATTTATTAAGATTTCATTTAAGTACGAAACCCTGTGTACTTATGAATTACTATAGTCAGCCAGTTATCAAACTAGTTTATAACTCCTCAGTAATGTTTATTCATGATCATATTAGACATTGAGTCTAGAACTTTCAGAGTCAGCTAATTTCATTTTTGTGAAAAATTTAATTTTCAATTAAACAATCTCTTCAGCAGTGTGCATCCACCATCCCGCTCGCGGGATTCGAAACCAGGGTCTTTAATCTCGCACGCGAACGCTTAACCTCTAGACCACTGAGTCTTCATCCAACAGTGTTAATGTCTAACCTCAATTAATTCACATAATTACTCAACTATCTTCTATTGTACTGAGAAAGATACCTGTCTCAACTTGACACAGATTAGATCCACTAGTCATGGCTTCAATGATGGTCTAACATCAATTAGTTCATGATCTCAATCAAAACTTTCATAATCTCCAAAACTCTATATTGATAAACAATCTCTATAAATCCCTTGCTTCTTAAAATGAATAGATCATATATGTTTTCCAATAAAAAAAATTATTGGCTTTATCGCTTTAAACCAATCGAAAAATATTTCCCAAGACGATGAAATTTCATCCAATCAAACTGAAGTATAGTTTTTGTTGTTGTATATAATTGCCCAACATACATGATAATAATATCATAAGTACTCTATTGTTATGTAATCATCATTTTAACATACCTTATTCAATTATCAATATTGAATTCTTTTATTGAATTAGTCAATCGGTTTTAATAATATTCACGATTACAATCATTAATTGGTTACATAATATTCAAACATTGATACATATGATCATTTAAACACAACAACAACAACAACAACAACAACAAAAGAATAGAATACAATGGTACAATATTTTGCATAGTAACAATGTTACCACGTATATTGTATATTTCCACGAATCGGATAATAAATTAATACCAAGGAAAAGTATTTTCTAAAACGTAGTAAGTTGATTTTTTTCTTTCTTATTTTTTTCGGTTCTTCTTTTTTTCTTTTTTTTTGAAATTCGTCCCCATATTCTCTTTATTTTTATTTTTTTTGATTTACAGTGTTATGTCATAAAAATGGATCAATAGGAATGAAGCATATTTTTTGGGGGGGGGGTGGAATTATTATTTCTTGTTGGAAATTATTGAATTCATTTTGTTTTTATGGTTGATGATTAGTATATTTTAATTCACATTAGTTACTTAGTTACGTTTGTTAACTCTCATCGAGGAGCGTTGGTCAACTACTAACATTCATCATCTAACAACTCTAGAAGTGTTATGGGTGAGATAATAAAAGCCATAACCTATTGGACGATAATCGAGATATATTTTTGTTAGATGATTGTCAATTTTAACCCCTCCCTCCTCACATACAAGTGATAATTTACGAAAATTCCCTTGTTGTTTTTAATTTGTTTGGTATTTCTTACTGTTTGTTGTTGACTTCATGAGTGATTAAATGATATTGATGCTGATAGAATGTATATTCTATTTAGTTTGTATATATTTGGTTAACGAATCAAATTGATATAACGTAGATGATGGAAATTAAATATGAATTTTACATCGTATATGTGTGGTATATGCTACTTATGTTGACAAATATAAGTAGCGTGTAACACAAATTAGAAGTGGAACGCGTAACAAGACAAAATGGAGATCTAATTGAAGACAATATGAATGTGAACAGAGTAATCGTAATATGATTATGAATGAAGTAACAATGAAATTTGTAAGAGACAATTTATGCATGATGTACAAATGCGGTATTTGTAGTGAACAAGAACACCAGTGGGGACGATAGTATGTACCTAACGACAAGTTATAGAACTAGTTAGTAAAATCCAACAACCATATATTAAATCGTTAATTTGCAAATTGTTCATCAATTGTCTCAAATCACTCAGAATCTCCTTGTTCTTGCATTTTCATACAAATTGCATTCTGTTTTCATTCTTTATTGTTTGATCTTCTCGTCTCTTTGCTGCCAGACATTCTGTTCAGTACTCACGTCATATACTACTTATGTCTACATAAGTAGCACACACCACATATTTACTGTATGGTTTTCATATTTTACGATGACACTTTATAATTTTTTATTAAAAATAAATTGGTTTACCCCACCTCAGTATTCGTTCACTACATACGTACATTTCAGACATGCTCATATTAAACGGTAGACAGGTAAGTAAAAGGTGTAGTTAGTTTGTTAAGTATTACAGTTCGGTATTAACGTCTGTCAATATACCTATAAAAGTTGTTGATTTGGTTGATAGAACGGGCATCGGCCTCGTGACTTCCGAAGGAACTGGGCTTTCACCATGAGGTGTCATAACTTTTTTAAATGAAGACCTAACTCCCAGGGCAGAATTTAAATGGTTTGAATAATTTTTTTCTGGTTAGCATCTTTTCGCGTGTTAGTTGTTTACGGGACGAGGTCGCTAATCCCATGCCCAGCTCTCCTCCATTACTCGAGCTTGGGATCGGCAGTAACTCCAGAAGAGCTACAGTCAGAGTTAGATGGAGAGTTCTAGTGGACGACCTATGCTCCTCCACGAGGAGTAACAGGCATAAGTATGTAAATAAGTAATAACGTCTTTGAACTCGTTGACACAACATGTAGGAATACTTGATATGGAATGAGTACAAACCACTAGCTATGTTATAAACACATTGATCCTTGAGTCGGCTATAAAAATTAATATCTAACTGCCTATAAATTTGAGAAGCTTTAATCTTGAAATAGATGAATCCCAATGAAAGTTAAATGAAAGGAAAAACACTATAACTAAGATTTAAACAAATAAAGATACTTGGTGCTTAAATTGAATAAAGTGTCATAAATTTAGAATGATTGACATTCAGTGGTTAAGACCATTTGGAATGACTGATTGTTATGAGACAGATACCATTATATATTAGCTAGATTTACTATTACAATGTAATAACCTAATAAACTTATTCATAACTCTCTATTATAAGATAATCATTAATAATTAAATATTATGATAATCTCTTCGATAAGTCATTTATAGATATCTTTATAATCTAAACCATTACAATCAACCTTGAAATCAATGAAGTCCCCTCTTACAATTTTAATAACTTTCAATACGAAAAAAATTAGTTTCTAAGTCATAATATAAAAAAAAGAAACAAATTGGGAAAATTTAGATATTATTACGCAGTAGAACATTATTTCAAAGTGTTAAATCCTGGGTTCGAATCTCGTGATGTGGGGTTGTGGATGTACACTGCCGAGGAGTCCCACAATAGAACGAAATGTCCTTCCAATGTTTCCATGTTTTCTAGGATGGTCTAGTTTCGATTAACTCATGATTTCAACTATTGAAATAACTATAGTAATATCCACAAAAACTCCTTCAGTTACCAAACTGTATTAGTTTATTTCATAGAATAAGAAGTAATGTCAGGTTATTGTAGCTAGTCAATCGAAAATACATTCTAATATAAAATAATAAAAATAAAATGTGTCTATTTAATTGTTGTTGCTAAGTGAATTCTACTGATTAAGATGTAGATATGTTCTAGGTAACATTGGAAGAATTATTTTAATGAAATAGCATAGAGAATTGCTCCATATTACACAATGTATGTATATTATTATTGTTATCAGAATATGAATTTGTATAGATTATAGTAATTTGAATAGTTGAATTCATCAGTTGATCTATGTTAAGCAATCATTGAAAACATGAAAGCATTAGACAACCATTTTGTTCTAGTATGAGAATCTTCAACATTGTGTATTCATAATTCTGTATATGAAGGATGAAACTCAAAACTTTCACTCAAACCTCTAAATTATTGAACTGGTATTCAATGATCTGAATGTTTAACTGTAATCAATCCATGATCATTCACAATCCTTCATTATTAATAGGATTATTAATATTATTATTTCTTAATTCGTTGAATTAATTGCACAATTCTCAATCATGATCATTTTATTTATTCTCGTATAGATACTACTATGCTATATATATATATATATATATATATATATATATATATATATATATATATATATATATATATATATATATATATATATATATGATTGTCAAAACAATATGTAGCAAAAACCTCTACATCAGTAGGCCTCAACATACACAAAAGAAAAACTAAGATCCTCAAATAAAACACTGAGAACACAAATCTAATCACACTTAGTGGCGAAACTCTGGAAGAGGTGGAATCCTTCACTTATATGGGAAGTATCAAGGAGGATCAGATGCAGATGTAAAGGTGAGGATTGGAAAATCAAGGAAAGCATTCCTACAATTGAAGAATATATAGAACTCAAAACAACTGTCTATCGACCAATATCAAAGTCAGAATCTTTAATATGAACGTCAACACAGTTAGTTCTATTGTACGGATCTGAAACATGGAGAACTACTACAACCATCATCAAGAAGGTACAAGTAGTTAGAAATAGTTGTCTACGCAATATATACAACATCCATCGGCCAAATACCATCAGAAACAGCCGACTGTGGGAGAGAACATACTAGTTCCCATCTGAAGAGGAAATTAGGAAAAGACGATGAAAATGGATAGGATATACATTACGCAAATCATCAAACTGTATCACGAGACAAGCCCTAACTTGGAATCCTGAAGAGAAGTAAAAAAGAGGAAGGCCAATGAACACATTACGTCGGGAAATAGAATCAGATATGAAACGGATGAATAATAAGTGGAAACAGCTGGAAAGGATTTCTGGGGATAGGGTTGGATGGAGAGTGTTAGTGGGTGGCCTATGCTCCTTCATAAAGAGTAACAGGCGTAAGTCAGTAAGTACGTAAGTAAATAAATAAGTCAAAACAATATAATTTACTATAAGTCATTGTATTAGTTCATAATGAAAATCTCATTAACTTCTATTCTTAATTTTTTTTTCTTCTTTTTTCGTTTTTTTTTTTTTTCATTTATTCATTCATTTAGAATGTATTTAGAATATTTTCCTATAGAATGGATTATATCAAATATAATCTGGTTTATGATTATTCTATTAAATCATTTACAATATTATTATAATTATTTCATTTATATTCAATTAATTTCATTTGTTATTGCTAATCATTTATTATATAATGATAATCCTAATTATATTGATGATCCAATTATTGATCCAGATCATATAAATTATAATACATTAACAATTACTTATTATAATTTAACTTATACTATTCCAGAAAATCAATCGATTAATTATTATATTGGACAAATTAATATTGATTTATTAAAATCAATAAATATTAATAAATCATCTAAATTTTATCAATTATTATATAATTCATCAAATAAAATCAATATTTTTTATCAATTACAAAAATCATCTAATTATATTTTATTAAATGAAACAACAAGTATATTAGTAACAAAAAATTTCATTGATTTAGAAACATTATGTCCTATTTATTGTTATGATAATAAATATTATGCTGAATTAATAATTTATGTTAATATATGGTATTTTAATATTACTATTAATAATTATCATATTATTAGTATTATTACTATTAAATTAATAATTATTGATATTGATGATCATTTACCAATATTTCCATTAAATATAATAAGACCATATAGAATTCAATTAAAAGAAGTTATATATGGATTAGGTAAATCAATTGAATTACCTAAAGCTATTGATTTAGATATTAATCCTAATTATTCGAAAATAATTTATCGTATTGATACATTATTACCAAATGATAGATTATTGATTTTTAATACATTTCATTTAATGATTGATAATAATAATTCACGTTTATTACTTTTATTTAAATATGATTTAGATTATGAATATATTAATCAATATAAATTTTATTTAATTTGTTCATCATTTAATATAATTGAATTTAATTATACTATAAAATCAAATATAGAAGATTATTTAGAAATTATTATAGATGTTATAAATATTAATGATATAGAACCAATATTTTCACAAACAATATATGAATTAGAAATTATGGAAAATAGTCAAGTGAATACAGTTATATATCAAGTAAGTATTATTATTGATTAATAATATAGAGTTCATGTAAATTGATTATCAAATTTCAATCATTAAAATCATGAGTCAGTTGAACCTAGACCACCATGAAAAACCTGGAAGCACTGGACGGTCATCTCGTCCTATTGCAGGACTCCTCAGCAGTGCGTATCCACGACCTCGCCCTCCCTGCGAGATTAGAACCCAGGATCTACTGTTTTCACGCGCCAGCACTTAACCACTAAACCATTGAGCCGGCTGGCATCCAACGGTGTTCATGTCTAACTTCAACTAATCCACGAAATTGAGCGACACATCCACCATTGTCTTCAGTGAGTTACTATCCCACAACAGACCTGGTTGAACTCCACTGGTCATTACTTCTCACTAGAACTCCAGGATATACCTCTTGAAGTCAGTCACTAGTGAGCATATGTTGATTATTATCAGAAGGGGTTTTGTTGAGATTGTAGTAATTTCAATCAATCGAATCTCACAGGGGGCGAAGTCGTGGAAGCGCACTGCTGAGGAGTCCCACAATAGGACGAAACGGCCCTCCATTGCTTCCAGATTTTCCATGGTGGTCTAGCTTCAACTCACTCATGATCTTAATGATTGAAATTACTACAATCTCCACAAAACCCCTTCTGATAATGATTATCAAATGTTTTCATTATTGATTGATTGAAGTTAGACATTGATCACTATGAGATCAAAAATAGATTAGTACTTTATAGGTTATAAGTGTTTGCATCATAGACTGATAAATTTTGAAGTATAATCTTGTGATGAAGGATTGTGGATGTGAATTGTTGAAGAGTTTCATATTAAGACGAAACGTGTTAGGTTTGAAGCTACCACTGCAGTGAACAGAACAGTGTACAGAACTTGTTAGTGAAATCCAACAACCATATATTAAATCGTTAATTTGCAAATTGTTCATCAATTGTCTCAAATCACTCAGAATCTCTTTGTTCTTGCATTTTCATACAAATTGCCTTCTGTCTTCATTCTTTATTGTTTGATCTTCTCGTCGCTTTGCTGCCAGACATTCTGTTCAGTACTCACGTCATATACTACTTATGTCTACATAAGTAGCACATACCACACGACGAGTTCATTTATTGAAAAATTACTCAAAAGAATATTTTTCGTTTATGTATCTCTGTTTCAATGTCATGAGAATTTTTCAATGATATAAAATATGAGTATTTGTAATTAAGAGGTTAGTATTAAATTGCAAAACGGAAAGGATCTATATATTCGTTGAAGGTAATCAGTAATAAATCACACGGTCTTGTGCTAGCTAACACCTACTAAGAAGATTCTAGGTTTGAAGCTATCACGAGTTCATTTAATCTACGAATGATAACAAACACTTGGTGACCAAAGACCAATAAGATAGATATTCTGATGCGTCCCAGCCCCGATAACTAAAGGAAGAAGTTCAAGCTTGGAGTGGAGAAGTATATTCTACGAACAGCCAGAAGCACGAGTGATAACAACAAACACATATCAAAACGTATATATTCAGTACAAAACAGTCCTTGAGGAGAGTTACGAATTAGCATACTAAAAGATGAAACGGACCAATAGCATTTAAGATATTTCCCAAGTGGGGAAGGTGACAAGAGCGCTTTTGGTGCGAAGACAAAGAAATTCAAATTTTCTAAATAAAATCACAAAATTAGTTCCTTTTCCAAGTGAGTTCTGGGGATTTAACATCCCCAACAAAATGGCTGTTCAGTGCTTCCAGATTTTCCATGATCGATTAGGTTTAATTGACTCATGATTTCAACTGTTAAAATTACTACAAAGTCAACAAAATCCCTTTCTGATACTAATTAACATATACACACTAGTGACTGCTTTCAAGAGGTATTTCCTGAACTTCAAGTGAGAAGTAGTGATCAGTGGAGTTCAACCGAGTGTGTTGTGAGATAGTAATTCACTCAAGACAATAGTAGACGATGGCGTAATTTCGTGAAAAGGTTGAGATTAGACATTCACACTGTTCGATGCCGGATTAATGGTCAAAAGATTAAGCGTTTGCATGCAAGACCAATAGATCCTGGGTTCGAGTCTCAGGGGGGAAGGATCATGGATGAGCACTGCGGAAGACTCCTACGATAGAAAGAAACGGATGTTCAGGTATTCCAGGTTTTCCATGGTGGTCTAGCTTTAATTGACTCATGAATTCAACCAAGAAATTACTATACTCTCTACAAAACTTCTTTCTGATTTATTTAATAGACGAAATCATGAGCCTTTTATAGCTAGACCACTATGAAAAACCAGTGGAGTTCACTTGTGTCTGTTATGCGATAGTAACTCAATGAAGATAATGGTAGACGGTGGTGAAATTTCGTGGATTGATTAAAGTTAAACAATAACACCGTTGGATGCTGGTCGTATCAGAGGTCTAAAGGTACAGCATTTGCGTGAGAAACCCATAGGTCTTAGGTTCGAATCCTGCGCAGTGGATTATGGATGAGCACTACTGAAGAGTCTCATACTAGGAAGAAACAGCTATCCAGTGTTTTAAAATTTTCCATGGTGATCTATAATTAATTGACTCATGAATTCAACTAATAAATTACTACAATCTCCATAAAACCCATTTCTGTTAGTTAGTTAGTTATTTCTTTGAAAAATTGAATTGAACATTTTTTTTACCTTTAATTTATGATCTATTATATCTACTCATAAGTATTAATGTACTTCAAATTTATTTAAGTGTTAAATTTGATGACATTCTATTCATGAATTAACAATGAATTCCCAAATTCAAGTGGCTTTATAATGTATGCATTGAGATCCGGAGATTTCAGTTAATAGCCTGAATTCAGTAAACATTTAAGTCGTATATTTTTAGATTTTATAGTTAAACTGACAACTTAAATTTGCTTATGCCTATTACACCTCGTGGAGGTCCATAGATAATCCATCAGCATTCTTGGACGAACCCTGTCCTCGACAATCCTTTTCAGTAGTTTTCAGTAGCCCACAAATGACATAGTACAGATAAGAGTATGGAGAATCAGCTATTCCTCTCAAAATGCTCTCAAATGGCCACTTGCTTACAACCACTGACAGGGTAGTCCTACTCAATGCTTTCTCATGGCTTTACTGTTGTTTACGAAATCGAGAAAACGTAAAGCGAATATCCGGCTCGTTAACCAGGTTACTGGACACGGAGTGTCCATCTAGAGGAGTTGGAAATCTCTGATTCTAAACCAATGGTGAACATGAGCTTTAGTATCCTGAAGGAACAAGTGGTGTATGAATCAATTATTTTTCACCGGCTACCATTGAACTGTATCTTTTGACATTGCTCCACTGACTTGTGGATCAAACCTTTAAGTCAAAGGCTTGGCTGTGGACCCCTAAAGAAACCACATACTTCGGTTTGGACACCCGAGCAAAATTCCATCCCTTTCAGAAATCGTATGATTTATGTGGCGCATATCTATTCGGTGCCTCCTTGTACTAATGTTCATGTGTTTAAATAAATTAAAGGTTTCCAGTCACTAGTCATTCTTTTCATGTCTGCTTAAAATTCTCGACTCAGAGTGTTGTTTAGTGTTCTTTTCAGTTTCCCTTCAGGATTCCAAGTTAGCACTTGCTTCTTAATGAATTACTTACTTACTTACTTACGACTGTTACTCCCAATGGGGCATAGGCCACCGACCAGCATTCTCCAACACACTCTGTCCTCGGCCTTCTTTTCTAGTTCCATCCAATTCTTGTTCATTTTTCTCATATCTATCTCCATTTCTCAGCGTAATGTATACTTTGGTCTTCCTCTCCACCTTCGACCTTGAGGATTCCATGTGAGGGCATGTCTTGTGACGCAGTTCGGTGCTTTCCTCAATGTGTATCCTATCCACTTCCAACGCTTCTTCCTGATTTCTTCCTCCACTGGGATCTGATTTGTTCTCTCCCACAGTAGGTTGTTGCTAATAGTGTCCGGCCAACGGATCTGAAGTATTTTTCGTAGACAACTGTTAATAAACACCTGTATCTTTTGGACGATGGATTTCGTAGTTTTCCAGGTTTCCGCCCCATACAGTAGAACTGTCTTGACATTTGTATTGAAAATTCTGACTTTGGTGTTGGTTGCCAATTGTTTTGAATTCCAGATGTTCTTCAGTTGTAAATATGCTGCTCTTGCTTTGCCAATCCGTGCCTTCACATCTGCATCAGATCCACCGTGTTCATCGATGATACTGCCCAGATATGTGAAGGTTTTTACATCTTCCGAAGCTTCTCCGTCAATTGTGATTGGATTGTTACATGCTGTGTTGTATCGAAGAATCTTGCTTTTCCCTTTGTATATATTGAGACCTAATGCTGCTGAGGCTGCAGCTACACTGGTTGTCTTCTCCTGCATTTGTTGTTGCGTATGCGATAGAAGATCCAGATCATCTGCGAAGTCTAGATCATCCAATTGCATCCTAGCTATCCATTGTATCCCGTGCTTCCTTTCAGATGTTGACGTCTTCATGATCCAGTCGATCATCAGGAGAAATACAATGGGTGAGAGTAAGCAACCTTGCCTGACACCGGTCTTTACTTCGAACGACTTTGTCAACTGTCCTCCATGAACGATTTTGCAGTTTAATCCATCATAGAAATTCCCTATGATATTGAATATCTTCTGCGGTACGCCGTAGTGTCGAAGAAGCTTCCATATTGTTGTTCTGTCCACACTGTCAACTGCTTTTTCGTAGTCAATGAAGTTGATGAAGAGTGATTGTTCTACAGTGATCCGTAGAGTAGCGATTTGGTCTGTGCACGATCTATCCTTACGGAATCCTGCCTGTTGGTCTCGAAGTTGTGCGTCTACGGAGTCCTTCATCCTGTTTAACAATATCCTGTTGAAGACTTTTCCCGGTATTGAAAGAAGAGTGATTCCCCTGTAGTTGTCACAGTTGCTGAGATCGCCTTTCTTTGGTATTTTGACTAGAAGTCCTTCTTTCCAGTCTTTTGGTACCTGTTCCTCATCCCAG